CTCCCTCCCTCCCTCCCTCCCTCCCGTTTTTCAGTGCTGGAGATCACCTAGGGCCTTGCTCATTGCTAGACAAGAGTGCCCTCAGCTCTTGTTCCTCCAAGGTGTGACTCAGATACAGAGTTTTCCACAAAGGTCTCTAATCCTTCCCTAGACTGGAAGTTATCTTTCCTGCCTCTGAATTTCCATAGCAGTTTATAGGCATTGCTGTGATTCTGGGTGGTGGTCTGATTGGAAATCCCATGAAATCTTCTGTCCTACACTGTAGGCTCCCTGTAGGTAGAACAGGGGATGCTTTGTTGTCATTGTAGGGGCTGGCTTGTCTCTTAGAACACTGTTTAATAAATGTCCATTGGATAAAGGCCAGAAGAATTCGTTCAGTCTTTTATTTTGGAAAAGAACCCCTCTATTTTGGCTGTAGAAACAGCTGATGACTTTGCCACCTTCATACGTAGATTCTTTGAACATCTTGACAAAGGTGATGGGTTGGCAAACTTGTTTGGGGGCTAAATCAGTTCTGTGGCAACATTAATTGGATGGTCCATAAAATTTTAAATAGTTACTAACTGCTCTTCTGAAGAAGTTGCTGTACCCATGCTCTGTACTCTGGCTCAGACCTGTAAAGAATGAAACGTCCATCATAGAAGGAAATGAAGGAAACACCGTGTGCTTAAATTCAACCTCTTACTCTGAGTTCCTGACATCTCTATGTGGCTTCCAGGGTTAGGGAACACTTTACCTTGTGGTAAGAATATGTAGACAGGTGCACTGGATTTGATCTCCAGTTTCTTGACATTTTGGTGGATTGTCTTGGTCGAAGTTGTGCTGTCAGGCTTTATGGCATTTACTCTACCTCTAAAATGATTTGGTATTCCCAGTAAAAATAACCTAGCAAGGGTATTTCAGATGTGGAACAGCATGAAACCAGCCTTCAGACCCTCCTCTGTCATGGCCGCAGAAGCAGCAGATGACTTGCCCCTTGTATATAAAGGTTCTTGGTACCTCTTGAGGATGAAAGTGAGGTGTTGCCAGGGTTTAGAAGGCAAGCTTTGTGGACCCCTACATTAGATCTTATGTTGTCCCTTTTCCTTTTTAGAGGGACGCATGGTCATCCAGGATATTCCTGCTGTCACCAGCAGAGGGCATGTGGAGAATGCACCTGACCTGGTTTCAGACTCCACCTACTACAGCAGCTTCTACCAGCCATCTCTGTTCCCTTACTACAACAATCTGTACAACTACCCGCAGTACTCCATGGCCTTGTCTGCTGAGTCCTCTTCTGGGGACGTGGGGAATCCCCTCGGTGGATCCCCTGTGAAGAACAGCCTGCGGAGCCTCCCAGCACCTTATGTGACTGGTCAGACTGGAAACCAGTGGCAGGTATGATATTATTTAGAGTTAATGGGATATGTGAAACACACATACATATAAATGCACATATGTATACACAAGCTCAGTTCAACACATGTGTAGGCACAGTATACAAAACACATTGTTTTTTTTCTTTTTCTTTTTTTTTTGTCTTTTTGAGATAGGGTCTCCCTGTAGCCCCAGCTGTCCTGGAACTCACTATGTAGACCAGGCTGGCCTCGAACTCGCAAAGATCCGCCTGCCTCTGCCTCCCAAGTGCTGGGATTAAAGGTGTGCGCCACTACGCCCGGTTGTTTTTTTTCTTTTAACTCTCTTAATAATGCCATTTTACCCCAGAAGTTGACTGCAGTGACTCCAAAGGAAGTAGGCATATTTTGCTTTTGTCACATTGTCATTTTACGTAAATACCCAGCTGACCAGAGTTAGATGCACAAGTAGCTTGGTAAATGAGTTACCACCTCCTCTAGCCTTGCCCACCATTGAGCAGCTTAGAAAATGCTAGATGCAGCTTTCTGGGTGACAGTCATCTTCCTGATGAATTCACATACTGGGAAGGAAAGTTAAGATCTGTGTGTTTGTGTGGCTGAAAGGTAAGAAAAGGAATTAAGTCCTGTTGTGATAGGCCAGTAATGTAGATGCATATTTTGTTAGGAAGGGAAATCAGTTTTTTCAAACTATATGTACTATAGTGTATAGTCAAGAACTGTTAATATTTGGAGTAAAATATCAGTGAGGGTTTGTTTAGAGTGGTTCTGCTTCCTCAGATGGAACCAGTTTCATGTATAGTAAACTTCATGCCTGAAGTCCTGGGTTCATCCAGGGGCAGATAGGCATTCATCAGAAGCACCTAGCCTGTCTCTGGAGGACCACCTTCCATGCCTAGGCTAGCATCACACCTGCGGAGAGGGGAACATCAGCTCTGAGAAGCTGCACTTAGACAGACATACCAGCAAGAGTGGGAGGGAAAACCTTGGTGACCTTCCTTAGTCCTGAGAGGAATAGGCAGTTTTAATGCTTGGTACCTTCCGAAAAACTTACTGGGCTGGAAAGAGGCACCATTGTTACAGCCCCAGGAGAGACACAGATGCACCATCTCTCATATTAGTTTGTCTCCTTAGAGACCCCGATTTAAGCTTCTTGCCTCCCTAGCCAGGTGCTTTCAGTGATATATTCTCATGTAACAAGTTACTTTGCAGTGGAAGGCCCTTCTGTCCTGCTTGTGGGTATTAAGTAGACTCTTACACCATATCATTGTGTTAGCAGCAGATTCAAGGCACCAGAAGCACCCCAAAGCTAGATGCCCCATGTATGTGTGTAGCCTAGGAATGTGTACAGAAGAGGGGTTAGACCCACATCACCAGGTCTCAAAAGATGTGATTTTCAAGGACTGTTCCTAGAGTGAGTGCATTTAATGCTTAGCTAAGAGTTGATTTCGACACAGTGCAACATATATATGGGAGTTAATACAAGTCTTTTTTTTTCCCTTTCTTCTTTTCTTTATTGAGGTATAATTGAGAAAATGGTATATATTTATGCTGTGCAGTGTGATGATTTGATGTATGTTTACATTGTGCATTGCTTATCACAGATCACAGGCATGCTCATGAAGGCACCCCCTCTCTCTGTCTCTCTGTCTCTGTCTCTCTGTCTCTCTCTCTGTGGCGGAGTAGTACTTAAGATTCAGTCTTGGCATTTTTCAGATATGTAGCACTATTAACTATAATCACCATGTTGTACATTGAACTTCCAGAATGTAACATATAATGCAAGTAGAACCTTTGACCAACATCTCTCTACTTCTCTGACCCTCCGGCCTCTGGCAACTACCATTCTAACCCTTCCAAGAGTCCAGGATTTTTAAAGATTCTTTGACTTCCTTAAGCCCAATTGTAAAAAAAACAAATATGAATTGCTATTTTTTTCTTAAGATATTGTTTCATTTAGCTGCTCTGTCTTTAAAAAATTTTAAGTTTATTTATATTTTGTGTATGAATGTTTTGCCTGCATGTATGTAAGTGTACCATGCATACAATGACTGCAGAGGCCAGAAGAAGGCATTAGGAGTTAAGGATGGTTGTTAGCTGCCATGTGGGTGGTAGGAACCAAACCTGGATCCTTTGCAAGAGTAGGTAGTGTTCTTAACTGCTGAGCCAACTCTCTCCAGCTCCTCCTTTCTTTCTTTCCTTCCTTCCTTCCTTCTTTCTTTTTTTCTTTCTTTCTTATGTGAAGAGGTTGTTAATATTCAAGGTGTTCCACTTTTTGGATTCTTCTGCTAGAGGGATGTGACTTCTTTGGATGTATTAAAGATCTGACTTAGTCCCCTGAGCTACAGACGTCTCTAGTTTTCCCATAAGTTTTACTTTGGTGTGATGGCATATATGTGTGTTTGCATCTGTGTGGGAGGTTTCATGCCCACACCATGTGTGTGAAGGCCAGAGGTTGGCCTTGGGTGTCTTCCTGGATCTCTTCATCTTATATATTGAGGCAAGGTCTCTCACTTGAACCCTGAGCTCTTGGATTTGGCTAGTCTAGCTCGCCACCTTGCTCTGGGGATTTCCTGATTGTTCTTTCTATGTGCTGGGATTATAGGCAGGCACCATGCCTATCCGACATCTGTATAGGTTCTGGGGATCCACTCCTCAGCTTTGTGTGGCAAGCACTTTACCAGCGGAGACACCTCCCCAGCCCCACATTTTATTTTTGAACGAAAACTCTGGAGTGTTCTTCTGAAGACCACATCTGAAGATCAATTCTACAACAATGAGATGTCTCCTAAACGAACTGTCCCTTTCTGCTGTCAGAAGCTTTGAGATGGCAGGTGATGCCTGACACAGGATGTTGGTCCTCACTCTTCTAGCAATGCCTGCTAAAGGCATGCCTGAGGTTTGGGGTTCAGCCTTGGGAGATAGGTACTTACTAGTAGCACCTGGCCTGCACCTAGAGGACTACCTTTTGTGAGCAGGCTAGCATCTCCTGGGGGGAGAGCATCTACTCTGAGAAGCTACATTCAGACATACATACCTGCTAACCAGAGTGTGGGGGCGAAACCTTGGTGAACTTCCTTAGTTCTGAGAGGGATAGGCAGTTTTGATGCTTGGCGCCTTCCCACAAACCCCACTGGGCTAGAAAGAAGCACCATTGTTACAGCCTCAGGAGAGATACAGAGGCATCATCTCATATAGGAGTTTGTGTCCTCAGAGGCCCAGGTTTAAACCTCCTTTCTCCCTGGCCAGGTGGTGTCAGTGATATATTCTCATGTAACAAGTTTTTTGCAGTGGAAGGTCCTTCTGTCTTGCTGTGGTTAATGCTGTTCTTCTCAACAACATGAAAAACAAAAGTGATAATTTTTTGAGCAGTTAGTCCTCTACACTTTCTAGGAGCTGAATATTAGCCTCTCTGAAAGTGACAGAACATGGAGACTGAGAGGACCAACTTGCTCAAGGTCCCACAGCCTCCAAGGAAAGAAAGAGCCTGGGTTTGAATCTGTGTCTGCTGGCTTTGAAGTAGATGTCGGTACTATCTGGCCATCACTGGGTCTGCAATAAACTCAGGACTGCATAATGTTTGTTCCAGAAGCCCTCTGTGAGCTGGGACCTCTGGGGAACAGGATTGTGCAGAATGTCTGCAGGTGAACCTCAACTGTGGGATGCATTCCCTATGAATGCTCAGGTTCTGTTGGTTTTTAGGGTTTGGAATTGCTACCTAAGTGCTCTGATGACAGGTTTGCACCATCATGCCCATCTTTGCCTTACTCTGTTTCTGCAGTATCCTTTGACCCTGCTCTTTGGGCATTGCCTTACTCCTAGTGGCAGCTTCTCAGAGGCTGGTGGGCAGGAGTGCACGTATTGCTCCTGCCCAGCATTTCTGCTACCTTTTCTGAGATACCTTCAGCTCACTTGGGAGACTGCTACACTCTGCTGCCGATGCCCTTGGTGTGAGTCAGGCTCAGCCTCAGTGCTTGAAATGGAGGCCATATCCTTTACATTATCTTCTTGACCCTGTTGTTTAAACTCAACTTGTGTCCTTTTTCTTTTCTTTTTTTCGGTTTTTTGGAGACAGGGTGTCGGGAGCCCCAGCTGGCCTGGAACTCCCTATGTAGACCAGGCTGGCCTCAATCTTACAGAGAGCTGCCTGCCTCTGCCTCTTGAGTGCCGAGGTTAGAGGCATGCCCCACCAGGCCTGGATCCTGCTAATGCTAGTAACATTTTAATGCTCTGTCCCCTTTCCTTGCTGCCTTTTTTTTTTTTTTTTTCCGGTCTTTTTGAGACAGGGTCTCCCTGTAGCCCCAGCTGTCCTGGAACTCACTATGTAGACCAGACTGGCCTTGAACTTAAAGAGATCTGCCTCCCAAGTGCTGGGACTGCAGGCATGCACCACCACGCCCAGCTCCTTGCTGCTTTGAGTGGTATTGAGTATTGGGGAGCACTATGAATATTTCTCAACCAAAGACCTCCTTTGGTTCCTAGAAAATACCTATTGTAATAGTAATCATTTTTTTAAGGTTAGATTTCTTTTTCATTATTGTTGTGAGACAATATGTAGTCCTGACTGACGTGGAAGTCACTGTGTAGACCAGGCTGACCTTGAACTCGCTGGCCTCGAACTCACAGAGATTGACCTGCCTCAGCCTCGCAAGTGCTGGGATTAAAGGTATGCACCACCACACACCAGGCTAGACTTCTGAAAGACAGAACATTTGATTTTTGCGTAAAGAATCCATTGACTCTTGTATGGAGTTAAATGCCTACTCTTGGCATGTCTAGCTGTAAAATTAAGCCACACAGACTGATTCAGCACCTACTAAATTCAAAATCTGTATGTGTCGGGGGACAGGGAGAAAGAGAGAAAAAGAACAGCACACACACAGTCCCATAATCCCAGGCCACTTTCCTGTGAATGCCCTGCATGCTGAGAAGGGTTTTAATCGCCTCTGGTCTGTCTCCAGCCTGCAGAGATTTGTGGCCCAATCATAGATTCCTGTCCTCTTGTGAAACAGGAATAACATTTGT